TCTCTCTCTCTCTCTCTCTCTCTCTCTCTCTCTCTCTCTCTCTCTCTGTCTCTCTACCTACCTACCTACCTACCTATCTGAACTAGGACATAGGGTAGAAAGGAAATGGGAAAGGACCTAGAAGAGTTGGAAAGTGAGAGGTGGGTTTGATCAAAACCAGATACATTCATGAAAAGGAAAAACCAAGCAGGCAAGCAAGCAAACAAGCATAACAACAACAAAAACTAAGAAGAGAAATTCAGCTTCATCAGGAAATTCTCCATTCCAGTTTTTCAAATGACTCTCCTCGAGTCCCGCTGGGAGGACTGGCTAAGGAGTTCCACCCTTTCCAAAGATCATAGCTGGCAGAATTCCTTCTGAAGAATTTGCCCAGAGTGATCTTTGAAGACGAATGTTCACAGTGAAAATGAACGGCCCTGGAGCCATGCGTTTATCTTCCCTGCCTCATCCCCAAACAGGATCAGAGGTTGAGTCATAGGAAGATGCTTTGGGTTGGGCCTGGCCACACCTGCAAACAACTCTGGAGGTGCTGTACCCTGGCGGCTGCTGTGCGCGCTGTACCCTGGCGGCGTGCTGTGCTCCAGACAATTAGGAAAGCGCTTGTGGGCAGCTGCTCACTGTCCAGCCCAAATGCACTTCTGTCTGTTAAATTCACCAGTCTGTAGAGACTCCAGCTCTTTCCCTCCCATATGTATTCTTAAATGTTACTGGCTTTAGATTCATCTTTTTCATTGTATGTGTATGAGTGTTGGGTCTTCATGCATGTATATATACCATGTGCATGCCTGGAGCTCAAGGAGATCAGAAGAGAGTGTTGGATCCCACAGATCTGGGGTTACAGATGGTTTTTGCTAGGATTAGAACTTGGGTTCACTGCAGGAACAGCCAGTGCTCTTAACTGCTGAGCCATTTCCAGATCACCTTCCTAGTGTGTGTGTGTGTGTGTGTGTGTGTGTGTGTGTGTGTGTGTGTGCGTGTGCGTGCGTGTATACATTTGGATATACATGTGTGTGGGGGTGGGTGTGCCTGCACATGTATGTTCATTCCATTGCAGGCTGAAGAACAACTTCCAGGGGCTTCCTTAGAAATGCCTTCTACTTTCTTTTTGACACAGGCCCTTTCACTGGCCTGGTGCTTGCCAAGTATGGTAGACTGACTAAGGAGCAAACCTGGGGACCCTTCTTTTTCCGCCTCTCCAGCCCTGGGAATATAAGCCCACTCCTCCACGGTGATCATCTTTTCATAGGTTCTGAGGGTCATACTCAGCCACTTGTGCTTGTAGAGCAAGAATGTAACCAAGTGAGCAATTCCCCCAGCCCAGCCCCAAGACTTTGTCCTTTGCTGAACTGTGTTTCATTTCCAACCCTGGCTGTACATCCAAATCATCTGAGAAGTTTTAAAGTAATCCCGCTGCCTGAGTCAACCCGTACATTCTGGCTCACTGGCCTGAGTACGGCCTTGGCTTCTTCTCAATCTAAAAAATAAATAAATAAATAAATAAAAATCCCTAGAT